TGGTATGACAGAGAGCTGGTATGACAGAGAGCTGGTATGACACACAGAGCAGGTATGACACACAGAGCAGGTATGACACACAGAGCAGGTATGACACACAGAGCTTAGAATTAGCTAATTTTTCAGTGCATTAGTGCTGTAGGTTTAGGGGACCTAAATATTTGAGTTAGTGCTGTAGGTTTAGGGGACCTAAATATTTGAGTTAGTGCTTTAGGTTTAGGGGACCTAAATATTTGAGTTAGTGCTTTAGGTTTAGGGGACCTAAATATTTGAGTTAGTGCTTTAGGTTTAGGGGACCTAAATATTTAAATTATTGCTGCTCACCACTGTAAAAACAAATATGACGAGTCATAATTCAGTTTCAGATAATTCTGGAAGGTAAGTGTTGTGACTCTTGGCTTGCCTTAGGTCCATGTTTCTATCTATTCTCAAACCTGTGCACCTGTCTGATGAAGCTCCGCCCCTTTTTTGTCCTCAGGTGTGGACCAGCAAGTGTGGTGATTGAACCGTTCTTTGTTCTGATTGTGTCTAACGTTTGTTGTTGTAGCAATGAAGAGAGGGCGTGTCCTGGCTTTGCTAGTGGGTGGAGTCTTCTGCTTGGCTGTGATGTCATTATACCGTATGCTGGAGACGATGCAGGGGGCGGGGCCTGATCAAGTCAGCGAAACACCTTACAGACAGGCAGATGAAGTATGTTACCAAGTTCACTTCTTGTTTTGGGGTATTTCAAAATAAAAGATGCAGTAACTTTAAATTGCTTGTTGAGTTTCACAATCAAATTACATTTTATAAATCTAAAACTGAATTTGAAATAAATGTTATACTTATTTTTCAGCTTTAATTCACTTGTTCAGTGAACAGGGTTTTTWAATGAACTGATCAATAATCTAAGAACTAATCACGTGTTCAGGATTTATCCCACCTGCAGCAGAAGATCGACAGGTTGGAGCGCCTCCTCGTCGATAACAATCACATGGTCTCTCGACTGCGTGACTTAGTGCTGCGCAGACAGTCACCTGAAGGAAGGGGTGGAGCTAATGTCAGCTCAGACTTCAAAGCAGGGCCCCTTCCTGGCTGCAGATTGACTGAAGAGATAAAGGATGGTGCTGACGGTGTGCAGGTTAGCTTCAGATGCTAGCAGCTGTGTGTGTGTTTATTGTTATGATTGATGATTTACTGATCTGTTGACTCATATGTTTGTGTTTCAAAATCCATCCATCCATCCATCCATCCATCCATCCATCCATCCATCCATCCATCCATTCATTCATTTTCTTCCTCTTATCTGGGGTTGGGTCGGGGGTCAGCAGCCCAAGCAGAGAGAGGCCCCCTAACCGATAAAGCCAATAGGACCACATCATCCACAAAAAGCAGAGATGTGATCCTAAGGTCACCAAAAAGGATCCCCTCAACAC